AAAGGAGAGTGGGAGAGATTTTGCATTTGAGTCAAATGGTCTGAGAGAAGTCTCTGACAGCCAAATCCCAGAATGCAAATGGTGTCAGAGTATAAAGGCCCCCGTGTGATTAGAGCAACTACTGAGTTATAGCTTTCAGCTTTTTCCAAACATTTAATAAGACTGTTTCTGTGCTGGAATACTTGTTACTGGCTGCATCTGTCATGTTTCTGGAGCAGACAGGACAAAACCCCAGACCACCAGCAGCTCTGAACACAACCCTAATGATGATGAAAGTTACCGCTGCGTGTCTATAGTCATACTTGCAGCCTCGTCATTGCCTGCTGCTGAAAAGAAGATGGGTAATAATTAATGTTAATGCAGCTGTGCATGTGTCTGTTAGCAAAATAGCTCATGAGCCACTGAACAGATTTTTTTAAAAATTCAGGAATTAATCGTTAAATTTACAACTGATCAACCTTTGATGTCAACTTGGTTCAAAATGGCCACCACATCCAACTGACATTAGCAAAAACAAAAATGGCTTCATTTCAGTCATTTCTACAGATATTGAGCTAAAACTTGGTTTGGTAGTAGCTAATATTACGTAGAAATAAATACTACTTGAATCAATGTGTTGTCAGTACTGACTCTCCACTTGTTGTCTGGAAAGCCTGAAAGAAAATTCTGGGGTTTTATTTTCCCCGAGCTCAGACTCACAGGCTCAAACTGTCAGGTTGTGTTTTCATAACTTTCTTTTCAGACCTAGAAATTGGAATTGATGTATAAACTGTCATAAAGGTAGTAATAGCTAATTCTGGAATGACTTTGACTGGAAATTATAATTTAGGTATTTTAGCCCATAATCTACATCAGGGCTATTTAACTGGTGGCCCGCGGGCCATTTCCAGCCCACAGGTGACTTCAATCTGGCCCACTTCAAAAAATATATATATATTTTTTTTGTTTGTTTGTTTGTTTTGTTTGTTTGTTTTTTGCTAGGGGTTTCTGGTTTTAAGTTCTGTAATAATGATTTGAATTGCTGGATGTCCGGCCCTCGAGCTGTTGGCTTTCAGAAACTGTGCCCCCCCCCGAGCAGTTTTATTTAATAGCCCTGATATATGTGTTGAAGAAAATGTGACAAATAAGAGACCATGCACATTTATTTTGGGATCCAAGGATTCTGGAAAAGTTTCATAAAAGAAATTAACAAAATAGTAAAAGTAAATATTCAATTTTAACCACTAGTATTCCTGCTGGGAATTTTATCGAAGGAAACATAATTCCGACCAAAGATGTACCTCACGGATTCTTCTACCGATTGACAAGAAAATAATAAAAGTGAAGTGGAAGGGAATAAAACCACCAACAATAACTCAGTGGGTACCAAGACTGAAATAGGTCCATGAAATGGAACAAATGACGACAAGTCTGCAACTGAAAATGGACGTCTGTGGAGTGGTGAGACTGTATTTTTGTGTATGAGTGAGGGGAAAATGGCAAATGCAACAAATATAAAATATTTTGAGTTCTTCTGTTAACACTGAATTGATGCAAGTTCTTCTTGTTTTATTATATTTGTACTTTTATCTTCTGTACGTAATT